CCATTGTGATCGATTCAGAGCCACGTCACACAGTCTCCAACCATGGGTTATGGTAGTCACGCGGAGCCCAACCAAGTAGTCTGCATCTACGAACATGGCTAAGAATATAAGTGAGTGACTTCAATAACTGATGCCACGTTTTGATTTGGTCGCCCTTAACTTTCTTCCAGCCATCTCCTACACAAGTCAGCACTGCGCGTCGTGGTAATCGTAGTTCCGGCATACGTAACACGTGGCCCAACCATCTCAGCAGATGAAGATTCAAAACTTCATCAACTAATCTACCATTATCCCCTTATACCATCAGTCTAACCTCTTTCTTACTTACCCGGTGATTCTAGAAGATGCGAACAATATTTCTTAGGCATCTGTGGTCAAATACGAGTAGCTTATGAGTATCTTTTACTCTTAATGGTCATGTTTCGCAACCGTAAAGTGGAACAGAACGAACCGCCGTGCCGTATACTCTTCCCTTAATTGGTAAACGGATATCTGTTCACTGATACCAATATTTATCCGTCTAAATACTTAATAATAATAATAATCCCATGTGCATAGAACTTTGTATCATTGTGTTTGTTAAAAACACCAGATTACTCTGACAATAGTAAGGATAATGTCAAGAAAACGCAAATCATTCGTTTGTTTATTTAATGTATGGCGAACTTTGTTTCAGCTCCGCCTGTAACTCTTCTAGAGTTACTGTTGATCTCAAGCCCCATTCTATAGAAAACAACATTGCTAAAAACATTTTAACAAAGAAAAAATCATTCGGAATATTTAAAATTTGCCCAGGAGAGTTAAAAGATCTTCACTCAGAAGAATTATGACATATCATGTTGAAAGTCCAGATTTTTTGGAATTCATTAGGCCAACGTCAATTCTAACAACCAGAGCAACAATTAACATAGGTACATGAAATGTCCTGACAATGTGGGAGACAGGGGGAATCAGTCAAATAGCAACGGAAATTAGGAGATACAGGTTGAAAGTATCGGAATCAGTGAGACTCATTAAACACAAGCTGAACAGCAAAGGCAAGATACAGAAGAGATGGTGCTGTACTCTGGTCACGTAGAAGAAAGTGCTCCACACACTCAGAAAGTCGTTCTGATGCTGTTCAAAGAAGTATAAAATGAACTTATAAGATGAGAATTACGATGAATGTTATCTAATGTTATGCACCCACCAATGATAGCAACGACAACAATAGGGTCAGGTTTATGAAAAGCTGCAATCGACTATAGCGGAATGCTCAAGAAAGGACCTGATCATCCTGATGGGAGATCTAAATGCCAAAGTCGGAATGGACAACATCGGATATGAAGATATCATGGGACGACGTGAACCGACTGGGAGAACGAAACAAGAATGATGAAAGATTTGTAAATCTATACACATTCAACAAATTGGTTATAGGTAGCACAATATTCTCACATAAACACAACCAGACAAGAGCAGCGAAAGTCAAAACACAAGCTGAATTCACAGATGCAAAAAAACCAGTGAAGTGGAGCAGCGAAGCCGACAAGCAGAAATACGTGGAAGATCTAAAGACGACAGCGGAAAAGCTGCAAGAGAAGGAAACATCGGACAACTATATGGCGTGACGAAGAAACTGGTGGGGGATTATGGTAAACCAGAGAGACTGGTCAAGGACAAAGAAGGCAAGCGAATCACTGAGATTCGAGAACAAGGAGCAGGTAGGTAGAGCATTATGAAGAATTATTGAGTAGACCAGAAAAACTGAACCTACGAGACGTAGAGTCAGCACACATAGACCTTCATATGGACGTCACTCCACCAACGACGGAAGAAATCAGGATGGCCGTTAGACAAATCAACAATGGGAAGACAAAAGGGCCTGATACTATACCAGCTGAAGCACTGAAGTAAAGCACAGAAATAACTGTGAAGATTCTCCGCAGTCTTCTTTAAAATTTTTTGAGAGGAAGAACAAGCGTCACAGACGGACTGAAAAGAAGAACAACTCATCAAAATACTAAAGAAAAGAGATCTGAGCAAATGTGAAAACTATGGAGGAATCACACTACCGTCAGTACTAGGAAAGATTTGCAACGGAGTGTCACTGAACCGGATGTAAGATTCGACAGACATCCAGCTTTGAGATCGATAGGCCAGAACTCCTGAAGTTGATCGTGACACCACGGGTCATCGTTGAACAATAAGTTGAATGGAACTCGTCACTATACATTGAATTCCTTGACTATGAGAGAACATCATGGAAACTCTTTCGAAAGTTTGGTGTACCTGAGAAAATCATCAACATTATCCGGAATTAATACGAGGGACTACACAGCAAAGTCGTGCATAGAGGTTAGCTGAAAGAGGCATTCCATGTGAGGACCAGAGTCAGACAAGGCTGCATATTCCCTCTTTCTCATTCTTCTGGTGGTTGACTGGATTATGAAGACTTCCACATCTGAGAGGAAGCACAGAATGCAATGGACAACTCGGAATAAATTAGAAGATTTGGACTTCGTAGATGACCCGGCCCTTCTAACCTATACACGCAAACAAATGTGGATGAAGACAACTAGTGTAGCAGCAGCCTCTACAGTAGTAGGCGTCGACATACACAATGGAAAATCCAAAATCCTGAAATACAACACGGAGAACACCAACTCAATCACACTTTATGGGGAAGCCCTGGGAAGTTTTATTATCCTGAGAAGCATAATCGGTAAACAAGTAGGATCTGATGCAGACATAAACGTGAGGATTGGCAAAGCCAGGGTTGCATTCCTACAATTGAGGGACATATGGAACTCAAAAAAAATTCAAACTAATATATAGGTTAGAATCATCAATACGAATGTCAAAACGGTCCTAATGTGCGGAGCTGAAATGTGGCGAACTACTACAATCATCATCAAAATGGCAAATGTATTTATAATTAGTTGTCTATGCAAGATACTTAATGTCCACTTACCGGAAACCATCAGCAAAAGCCTACTGTGGCAAAGAACAAATCAACTTGTAGCTGATGAGGGAATTATGAAAAGATTTTGGAAGTGGATAGGATATACATTTTGGAAATCGTAAAACTGCATCACGAGGCAAGCCCTAACTGGATATTTTGAATGAAACCGAAAAAGAGGAAGACCAAAGAATACACTGCATTGGGAATTAGAAGTAGACATGAAAAGGATGAATAGCAACAGGGAAGAACTGGAAAGTATTGTCCAGGACAGAGTGCGATAGAGAATGGTGGTGACAGGCCTATGATCTATCACGGTCGGTAACAGGAGTAAGTATGTAAGTAAAGTTTGTCTCAGGTCAGTTTGCTTGTATTAGAAATATGAAAAACGTTGATTGGAAAAATTTCTATGTCAAGTGCATAGACAGCAAATTTCACTTGTTCGACTGTGCCCACTTGTGTTCTCGTTCACTACGTTAGGTACAGATCATGACTAGAACCAATATCCATACAAGTAGTTGACTAATATAAATATAATCGGGTCAATGAAAGTCTGCATTTGTCTATTATACAGCAGCTGTATGACATTGTTAACGATTAATCATACAGTTATGAGGATAAGTTTGATGAATAATTTGCGTGCTAGGTTGTAAATAAACTAGCATCAAAAATATGGAAACTTCTGGATTCTCGCCCAGTAATAAAAAATCATGATTTATCATTTGAATTTTTTTTAATTTCACAGTTGTTTACAAACACTTTTGACATTTTAATTACCGATACCAGTTGATTAATATGGGATGGATATTCGAATAGGTGAAAATAATCTGAAAATCTCCTAGATAATAAGCAATTCCAAAATTACATAATTTTTTATTTCAGTGTTTAGTCGCCAGTAGGTCTATAGATAAAGTTCATACGCCTAAATCTTTATTCACCCACTACGTCGAAGGACTATGACAAGATGAACAAACCATAAGACATAAGACCTCACATAAATGTGAGTAGACATAAGTCGTCAAGTTTTCTACAAACACAGTAAAATGAGATTAGTGATGACAGGTATGAGGATCTGGATATAAATAATAAGAGTTAAACAAATCAAAGAAAGTATCATTCGAAAATAACAACCAAAATGGCGAGATGAGAAATTTGGAGAAATACCAAGCCCATGGTTTATGGGAGAAAGGGAATAGATTCTTCTACTTCACTGATAATGTATTTCGGCCAAAATACCTAAGTTCTCCAAATAGAAAGTTTACAACTATAGAAGCGATTCGAACTGACAATTTACGACTTTGTTAACTTATATCACATCTTAGATTAGTTACCACTAGATTACACCAATCAGGTCTACTGTAAACCCCAAACAGATCAGCGTTAACAAGTCTAGTAAAAAGCAGTCTATATTGATTGCAATGATATCCGTAATGAGTGTCAACACTGGCCAAAAAGGATCAAGACATGTGCGAATAATCTACTTCGTAAAGTTCAATAAATAATTATCTTAACCAAAAAGTGTCTGGACTTGCGTTTCCCTCCCTAAATTAGGAGCAAGCTCAGCCGTCTCGGTGAAATTTCATGTCTTTGTTGGTAAAGAATAAAAATGTGGATAAAGCGTGAAAAGCGAACAAAATAAAAATGCAAAAAGTGGGATTACACTTTAAACAATTTTATTACTCTCCTTCATTCACAAGAGCCTTGGTACTGTGACCGAAGAAACAGGCCAAACTAAAAAACACGTGAAACAAAGTCATGAGTACATTGATTAAGAAAACCCGAACTTTTCGAAAATCGTTAGGTGGTGTAAATAAATCAAATAGTTGCTACCTAAATCAATAGTAAAAACGTTTAAAATTTAGTCATAGTTTTCGTTTGTACAAACGATTATAAATGCAAAATATTAGTTGCGGAATGCACTTCAAGCTCTTTCCTTGAAAATCCATAAACAGAAGAAATTTCTTAACAAACTGAATTTTCAGCAGTTACTTCATCAGATAAATTTCATCAAGGAATTTTAAAGTATAATTTAAACGTTCGGAAGTGAATTATGACTCACTTTCTTGTGGTCAGACTTTTGCAGTATTTCTGATGAATAGCTTGTAAGATACTAACAAACAGCGAGATATTATTACAAGAGAAGTAAATTTTATTTTTGCGACAGTAAAGAGGTCATATGTACAATATACAATATTTACATGAAATATACAATATATAATTCACAGTCTTATATATATCGACCAGCTTACTTTTACCTCTCTCTTGATTTAATATGTTTACAGACATTTTATATATCCGATGAGTCGTATTCTAGTCACTGGACTGCACTAATTGTAGCCAGTTTGGTAGGTATTTAAGGTCCGTGTAATTCGAGTGATTACGTTTGTCTCAGAGCAGTACGGTTTCTGGATACCAGAAGATATCAAATTACCAGGCAGGTGGTTGATTGTTTGCGATGTAAAAACATAAAGTGATGATTTGACTGCGAAGAGGAGACGGTTGTTTCAAGAGTAGATAAGTATATAGCGGTAAATGATTCTTTGAAATCACTGGCTGACTTCATTGTATAGCTGAGGTCGCTCCGTCACGCATCAACATAGTATCATGAGTGGGCATATTGTGATACAAATCCCCTTCAACCATTAGCCAGCTTAGATCAAACATTACTCGACATACCGATAGCTTCCCAAGTATATCTTCGACCTCCCTAATTTCGAACTTTTAATTTAAGTGGGCTGGCACACCTTGATTAAAATGGTGTTACTGGAAAGGGGTTGTCGAACTCCAAATACTTGTGGCATCTTTAAGCAGTTTGCCTAATTGATAATATGTAAGGAGACGGAGTGGTAAGATTAAGAGGATAAATGCAGATGATAAGAAGATGGGAAGTGGGTGCTGCTATGTGATTCTGATAGACGTAGTTAACTATTAGAAAGGCATCATACACAGCCGGTTCAAGGTTGGGGCGACGATCCATGGGTGAGGAAGCGTTTGACAAGTCCAGTGTTGCAGCTAAGTGGCTTAGGTCACTTAGACTTGGTGAGAGTCACAGACAGAGGAAGTGTCTAATGAGAAAATGTGTGAGTATATATGAGTTTTTTCTCTTCGATGTTCAGTCTCTCGAGAGCTGATGCTCAAGAAACTTGAAATGAGTCCTTATAGAAGTTAAAATGGATATCCATGGATATCTGTCGAGGAAGCAAAACAATATATGAAATCCACAACAAAATAAAATCTTAGTATCAAAAATATGCGAAACTTAATATCAAGTGCACTCAGAAGGAATCGACGTCGTTTGTTACATGATACATATTTGCTATAATGCTATATATGGGGTTCACTTTCAAGTCTAAACTTGAATTTTAAAAGGTTTATCAATGGAATGACTAGTCTGGGTCGGTCACTAGAGATTAAGTTATACATATGCTGTTTACAGTGCTAGCCGTAATGATTTGGACTAATAAGCACTTCGGAATTCACTGACGTTATTCTATGGATATTCATAATCACCTAGCACTTTTCCATACGTAGTCAAAATAGTTCATTTGATAAAGATTATTCCTTCATGACAATGAATTTAGGCTTTTCATTGCTTTCTGATACTAATCGTCTCAAGTTTCCACTACCTTCATAACCAGCTGGTAGAAGCTAAATTTTATGATTGATCTGAAGGATAGTTTGAATAAATTTTCATTTCGTAGTCAGTTATTGTAGAGCAAGCCGAAAACCGGGAGTATTCTATGAGCAACGGTCTCCTAGTCGTTCAGAATAAGGCTCAAGTCTGAAGCCAATAAAATGCTTGAGTAAATAAACCATTACGTTTCAAGTAGTGACAGTGTTGAAGATGCCACAGGTATTTGGAGTTTTGACAACGCTTTACCCAGTAACATCTAATATGAAGCTTACCCATCAAGTGAAATCAAAAGACAGAAGCGAGGAGGTTCGAAGTTATATTTGATGGGCTATCAATACATCGAGGATCGTCTGATCCAATGTGGCTAGCGATTGCAGTGGTTGTTGAGCACGGCGTTCCCATTCGTGATCTGGTGCGGATACATGACCGAGAGCCTTCAGCTTGCTGAGTTCATTAAAACTAGTGTGGTCAGCATCCAATGTCGAAAACTTACAGAGCTATTTATTTTGGGGATTTATTTACCGCTACAGTATATTTATATGTGGTTGATCACTTCCTTTAATATGAAACTTATCAACACCAAATGCACTCATGATATTCATGCCTATATTATCTATTAAGCTGCAGTATGTTGCTTCATGAGGCTAATTATAATTCAGTAACTATTTTTCACTCCAACACTCCTGCACGTCTGTAGCTTAGCAGACCCATTTTGATATATAGTTCGATTAAGTATCTATGATGTCTTCGCGAACGTATGACATTTCTTTTCGTTTACTACTGGAATCAAGATGTCTTAACACTTGTGACAGCCGCTCATGGCTTAAGTAACCCCATCTTACTCTTTCCATTCTATCTTCGTATACATTACCAACTAGGCAAAGTACTTGTTTAAGGAGGTCGACGATATACTTGGGAAGCTATCGGTATGTCGAGTAATGTTTGATCTAAGCTGGCTAATGGTTGAAGGGGATTTGTATCACAATATGCCCACTCATGATACTATGTTGATGCGTGACGGAGCGACCTCAGCTATACAATGAAGTCAGCCAGTGATTTCAAAGAATCATTTACCGCTATATACTTATCTACTCTTGAAACAACCGTCTCCTCTTCGCAGTCAAATCATCACTTTATGTTTTTACATCGCAAACAATCAACCACCTGCCTGGTAATTTGATATCTTCTGGTATCCAGAAACCGTACTGCTCTGAGACAAACGTAATCACTCGAATTACACGGACCTTAAATACCTACCAAACTGGCTACAATTAGTGCAGTCCAGTGACTAGAATACGACTCATCGGATATATAAAATGTCTGTAAACATATTAAATCAAGAGAGAGGTAAAAGTAAGCTGGTCGATATACACAAGTTTATTTCTGATAAATTGAAAACTGGATGAAACTTGTTTTTATCCACCATTCAAAATAATACTGCTTACCTTCTTATTACCACAAATACGAATGAGCCTGGAATTTTTAGTTAGACTTGTTTAGAGGTAATACCGTGCTTAGTTGTCTTATACCTACCACAAATGAGGAAGAAATTCGCTTTTATCACAAGGTTTACTTCAACACATGTGTCAGATCATTTTTCATCGTTTCCGGTTTACCATTGTAATTATTTCTACATAATAATCGTCCTAATTGTCTTTTTCGTTCCATATGGTTTGTGTTTTTCTTATCTAACTTCTTTTTAGTGCCTTGTGAGCAGGTTGTTACGCCTGAAGTGTCGATTTATGATGAAACACCAGATGCACACACTGGCAGAGTTGTTTATCTTGAGAATAAAACTGTTTTAATAAATGGTTTAGTTGGAGAAAAAGTTATCATACAATGTAACGTTTTTAATATGCCTCGTGGAGCTAGGGTATTACTACATATAAAGAGTATGGTTTACTCATATTTATAGATATTTTGGCGGAGAGACAGTTTATCGGGGGATGAAGTTTCGGAAGTAATAAATGATGGTCTCATGTCCCGTGATATGTCTAGGTGGGAAATTGGCCAAGGAAAGCAGCAAGATTCTGTTCGGTTAGTTTGAATTTATGAATACAATTCCCACATTTATATAGCTGATATATGTTTCGATTATTAAATGGTGTTACTTTTAGGTCTTTCAACAGTGTCATCCAATTTCTAATACATGACTACAGCTCGAGATAGGATTAATGGCCTGAGTGTTTTGCTAAGTCATATGTTAGATATGAGTTTTCTGGCAGGGTGTCGTGATTGCCTACGTTGTAAATTGTTTTATCGTTACTCATAACAGTGTCAGACTGTAAATTGATAATAGCTGACTGACTATCATGATATTATGTTTTATTGTAATAAATTGTTTAAATACTGATAACTTTCAATACTTTTTAGTCACCTGGTTACACAAGTAAGAAATAAACGTTCATATTTTGTTGTTGAACAAATTGATGGAAAATCCTGTTAGACTAAGAAATAGCATTCGAAGTACTGGAACTTAACCTTTTGGAAATCTGACAGTACATCATTTCTAGGTCGAGAGTTCTGTTATATTAGGGAATTCTTCGGGTTATGCAATGTTCATATACTTGCCCAGTAGAATTAAATGTTATTCGTTTGCGCTTTATTTACGAAACGGGATTCAAATGCTTGGTAGACGGATATCTCTCAAACTTTGGTGCATAAGTAGTGCATAATAGTTCTACCGAAAAGGTTATTTGTTTTTGAAAATAAATTTTAGAGCTCAAATACTTGTAGTTTCCATGCTTTTATTTTATCATCTAACAACGTTTTGCAGTTAGAAACGCAGAGATGGTTTAAAATATATGTTTACTATCTACTGCACACGCAAGTTTAAATGTTTGTGATACTATTCGATTTTATTCACATTAAGCCTGGTCGTAGGGCGTCGCGATTATTTACAAAAACGTTTGTTTTACGCTTTTCATCATCTCTTGTTTCTCTTAACTAACTATGCCTTTTGTTACATAATCAATGTATACCAAAGTAATCACCCTTAATCAGTGTCTATCTACTTTAGTTTTTAATACTCGAAGTTGTTATGCAAGGTAATACCAACTATTCATACGAAAATATTTTCCATGAAGAGGAAGAACTGTATTGATGTTTCTTCTTCATAATATGTTTCTCTGCAGTTAATTACCTTCACAAACCGATATCAGTAGGAAAAACTTATAAAACAAAAGAGATCTGCATATCTACTCCTAATTTATGATTACTCAGAAGATTGCAACTCACAACTTCACGATCTAACCAAATCGGTGAATTTCAGATCACTTGATAAGCATTGTGCATTTAAACCTCTGGATGAATATTTAAAATTTCAGTCGTTTATAAACTTAGAGCTATCACTATTTAATACTATCTATGAGCAACTGTCTAACTCAATATTATTTACTGGCTGGCCACAATCTCTGATAAAAGTTGACGTTAAAAACTAAAAAAAATGTTCAGAAACCTTTTATATATAGACATACGTTTGATACCTTTAATGTATATATTTTAAGTTTAGAAATCATGTCTTTGGACAAATCATATGAAGG